AATTTCCCTATAGTCAGATTAGTGAGAATACGAAATAAAAACGAAAAAATAATACCCGAAATTGATAACGGAATTCAGCCAATTGTGCTTACGTCTCCGGACTATTGCAGATCTTTTACTAAGAGATAAAATTTACAGGTGTTTACAAAACACTCACTACTCACAAGAAAGCTCTCTAGTATTGGGAGAAAGAAATGATTTTTAGGATAATCACAATTAATCCCTAGGCTTTAGGGTATTTACAAGATTAAGTCCTTAAGTTTCAACTATAAATACCTTAGCTCATTTAGCTTTAAAACCATCTCAAAAATCATTTCTTTCTTCCAAAAACCATCCCAACTATTAATTATTATGATGAATAGAGATTTTGCCACAAATTCATTATGTTCAAGGAACTAAATTTTTTACTTTTCGAATTCATTATGCCCACGGAAATGAATTACTTTCTTCTCCCCAAAGTTGTCATGCCTAAGATTCTTTTGTTTAACACAAAACTATCTTTTGCTTGATTCAATCAAGACGTATTTACTAGAAACATCAACATCTGACACGAAAGATGGTGGAGGTATGACAAAATTTTGGTGATGTTTGCCTTGATGGAGTGAAGACGATCATTGACATCGTGCATTTGTTTTTGCACGTTTGAACGCAGCGATTGCAGTGTTGAAGGAGACACATTTTGGCGAGTGAAAACCCGTTCGATACGTGGCGTCATCACTCCCAGTGGAAGAAATAAGGCGCGATGGCAGACAGATTAAAAACGAACCAGCTGGTCATTTTCGAAGCGTAAGAATCCCTTTAAACGCTCCTCATATGGAACCACGTAGGATCGGCCAAGTCGATTGCGTTCGGGGATTCTCGGATACCGCTGGTGGGCTGCCAGGAGGTGAAAGAAAGGCATTTGCACCTGATGCATGGAAAGGAGAAAGAGGCTACCCGTCATGGAATTGATACGATGGATCCGCATCGGGCTCTCCCGGAATGAAACCGGTAGAGAAATCCTCTGTAAAACCAAATAAAGGACGGTACATCAGTAAAGGTTAGATGGAAATGGGTTCAGAGTTTACCTCGGGAATATTTTTCAATTCTGCTGAATGCATAAAAAAAAGATGGCACTGCCGAGCACCTTGGCCGAGAGGATGAGGAGGATGCCACGGTCGGCATAGAGTGGAATGATGGAGTCGGTGACCGTGGGGGAGACGGACAGTGAGTATTGATCGGTCTGGCGACGTCGAGTCGTCTCGAGCGACAGCTAACGGGTGGAGGTTTGGCAGCCGGTGCATGGAATGGTTCAGGTGGTGGCGATTTTTCTCGCCGTTAACACCCACCACGACGAAGAGGAGGCGGTGGAATTGGTTTTGAGTTGCTCAGAATCTCCACGAACGCTGCCAGAACGGTGAATCGACGTCAGCAGCCAAGTAATGTTAGAGGGGCGGTCGATTCGTTGTTGCCTTGATTTCGCATTCGGACTGTGTTGACGGAAGGAACAACGATGCGTTGGTGATGAAACGGCAGCGCGAAGAGCAATCGGTGATGAGGTGAGCGACGGCCGAAAGTTTTGAAGGGAGGTAAGAGGATGAAAGAAATAAAGAAGGAAAGGTCGGGCGGCACTTTAAAAAAAAAAAATTGAAATTGTGAGGTCACGTGTAAAAGAGAAAAAAAAAAAGTGAAAGAGTTTAATTGGCTTTGGTATTTTTTTTAAAATTGAAAAAGAGATAAAGGTGGGGTCCAAGGATTTTAAAAGGAAGAAGGGGAGTGGCCGGTCAACTTGTTGGGGGAATAAGGGGAAAAATTAATCAAATAATAAAAATTAAAATTCTACAAAATCAAAGAAACGAAATCGAAAATGGGTTACCTCTCATAAATTGATTTGTTTAACTTTGTTAAGCTCAACGACTTAATTCAGACTATATGTTATGTTCGAGACGTTTCCTACATTTCATACGTTTTTCCAAGTAAGAAATTTCCTATGAGAACTTCTACGATTAATAAACTCCTTAATTATATCCCTATAGAATTGAACAGTCTCATAAGCATTTCTTCGATTTTTTTCAATTATGGAGATTCTCTAAAATAGTGGCCGATAATATATCATTTTCTACAAAGATGAATGCTTTAAATGTTTCTAAATTTTTTTTCTGCTCTTTTTTTTTGTAACTGCAAAATAGAAGGAATAATTTTAGATTCAAAAGGAACCAAACTTGAATCAGAATAAATAGATTTTTTTATCAAACTCCCTGATTTCTTTGTCGTAATCCTCCAATTCCCTACACAAATAATCGGACGAATTAGTTTCCACAAACTCATTTGCCAAAGGATAAAAAAATATTAATGAAATTAATGCTAGCCATAATTTCCGGGTATTTCATAACTTTATATACATCAAATTTAATGATCTCACAATCAAATTCCATTGTTAAAATGCCGTTTCAAACGTCGTCAATCTTTGTGTACGTCGTACTAAAGAAAGGGCGATCGAGAAAAATCTCAAAACTAGTGCAGCTACAATCATTTTCCATATAAATTACATAAAAATTAGCAGGAAAAATCAAATAGTTTACTTTTACCAGAACGTTTTCTAAGACTCATTGATATGTCGATGAGCTGAATAGTGACTATGGTTTTTTTCAAAGGATTGGTGGAAATCATATTATAAACAGAGAGGGGCATCACATTGATTGAGACACCCAAATCGCACATGGCGCGCTTAATCCCATCTTTACCAATCTTACAAGGAATTGCAAACATACCTTGGTCCTTGTACTTCGGTGGAAGCCGTTTCTGAAAAGTCGTCGAAATATTATCGCCCAAGTTCACTTTTTCATTTTCGATAAGTCATCTTCGATTTGTGCAAAGGCCTTTAAGGAACTTGGCGTATTTAGGCACTTTCCAAATTACCTCAAGGAGTGGAATATTTATTTCATTCTTTTGAAATATGTTTAGGATCTCATTCTCTTCTGCTTGTTTGTCTCACTTCATCAATATCGAAGGAAAGGGAGACAAAACTTCGTAAGGCGAAGGGGAAAAAGAAGATGTGTGAGTACCTGAGTTAGGTGGTGGTTTTTCAGCATCCTTTTTCTTTTTGGGCATTGTGTCACTCTCCTTCGGGGTTTTAGGTAAAATGACGGTACAACTTCGAAGAGTTATCGTGCTAACATTCTCTCTCGAATTGACTTCAGTTTGCGACGACAATCTACTTTGACATTCTAGGCACCCCACTGTTTGAGCCAATTGACTTATTTGCTTATCTATCTCTTGAAGATGAGCATGGGTTTGATTTTGGAACTTTTATTGGGACAAGACTAATCTCTCAACAATAGACTCTAGTGAAGTCTTTTGTGGTTATTGAGGCGAAAATGGAGGTGGACCTTAGTTGATAATTCAGATTCGCTTTTTTATTGTTTCCATAACTTAAGTTCAAATAGCCCCTCCATCCCGGATTAAAGGTGTTGCCAAATGGGTTATAAGGCCTCTGGGAAGGTCCCGGAAAGTTACCCATGGCATTAACTTGTGCACTAAACTCCTCTTGTAACATCGGGTAGTAATCCGTCGGGTGATCTGGCATCGTACAAATCCCGCATTTAATTGGGTGAAAAATAAAATAAAATAATTACAATTAAGAAAATACCCTTCACTTATATTGTGAAATGTGTCACAATCTAATTGGAGAATTAAATTTATTAAATTAAATTAAAATTTGGATAGAATTGATAGAATGTAAAAGTATTAAGGACTAAACGTATAATTATTTTAATTTTATTAATTGTCACGTCAGCACTTTATCAATTATTAACAACATGTGACTTGATTGAAAATAATTAAATAGTTAAGAGGTCTAACTGGAAAAAATGAAAGATTGATGGTTAAAGAAAAAGGGGTAAATAGTTATGTGGTCATTGATATAATTTACCTCAAAATTTTTATTTTTTTCATTCCCTAATGGATCAAGTGCATCTGTTATGTGTGAGCAAAACTCGACTATACTCGAAAAAAAATCAATTTCGAGTTATTCTAGTCGAGTTATTCGAGTCCTAATTATTGATTTAGTTTTTGAGTTCGAGTCGAGTTGAAATTTGTAAATTTCGGGTTATTCGAAAAATTAAAAATTTGACTAAGTATTTTGGTAGTTTTACGATTTAGTTCCTAATTTTATTATTCCTTCAATTCCTCCTTCATTTTAAGTCATTTTTTTTACCAAATTTGAACTACATGCTTTTAAACCATGGTAGAATACATATGTACTTTGAATTCAATTTCTCTTTCTGATAACAACTTTTTTGTTTTTCAATTTAGTCCCTTAATTTTTTTATAATTTCCTTATTTCTTCAATCCATCTTTTTATTTTAAGTATGTTTTTTCTATTAAATTTGAACCACATGCTTGTATACCACTATAGAATACCTATGTAACTTCAATTCTTATTTTTTTCTCAGAATGTACTCTGTCTTTTTATTTAGTCTCTTAACTTTGCATTTCACTCAATTTGATCTTTTGACAACAATTGTTTGAAAATTCTTTTTTCCCGTCAATTTCTTAACTCTTTTATACTCGCATCAATATTTTACCCTCAAATTATTTTCTTTAAAATATAATATTATGAATATATTTTATAATTTTATATTGTATTTGATATATTAAATGCTATTATATTGTGAAAAGAATATATATATTAGAACCAATCCTGGTCATAATACTATAAACAATTGTAATAAAATTAGTACAAAAACTCGAATAACTATACTCGAATAATTCGAAACTTTTTGACTCGATCGAATGCTCACCCCTCACATCCGCGCCTAATATGTATGTATGTGTATATACATATACACACAAAATTAAGCAACATCATCAGGTACCCTCTATTTTATTCCCAAAATAATTCTGCACAAATAGGGTTATACTGTATCGCCAACATTTCAGATCGGATGAAGCGAATTTGAGTCACGATCTCTAATATATGATTCACAAGTGTTAAACATGATTGTTATCTTAATCTAATCTGAAACAGAAATAACGATTGTTGAAGTTCCGATATGAAGGACATATTGTATGTCTAGCGAGCTTCAATCATAGTGATCGACACAACATTTACAGAGTAGGTTTCTTCATGACTTTTCTTCTCTATAAATGCAGGTTGTTCCGGCGACGGGAGAGTTGCTTCGTTACTCAACATAGAAACAACTGTAGCCATCGCTGGTCTCTGTGTTGCATGTTCTTGGACGCACAACAGCCCAATTTGGATGCAATTCAAAATTTCATCTGCAGAATATGAATCACCGATTGCAGAGTCCACAACTTCCATGGCTCTGTCTTGTTTCCACAGCTCCCAAACCTGAGACAATGTTGTTTGAATGAAAGATCAAGTATTTAATTCACAACACTTGATACAATTGTTCTGCATACTTGGTTACTTACATGTCCCACCAGATTCAAAGACGGACTACCAGGAAAAGGACTGCTAATTTTTTTTCCAGTGATTATCTCCAACAGCAGGACACCGAAGCTGTAAACATCGGATTTGATCGAGAAGTGTCCTTCCATTGCATACTCTGGCGACATGTAACCGCTACAAACATACAACAGAAAGGAGTTTGGTTAGAACTTGTTCGAAACCATTAGCTGAAGTTGGCTGCATATTTTGTATAAGAAATGCTCACTATGTTCCCACCACACGTTTAGTGTCGCCTTCTGTTTGACCTTCTCCAAATATTCTGGCCATCCCAAAATCTGAAATTTTGGGATTCATTGTTGCATCCAATAAGACATTGCTCGCTTTCAGATCTCTATGGATGATTCTTAACCTGGAATCTTGGTGAAGATACAACATTCCTCGAGCAATACCGCATATGATTTCGAAACGCTTTTTCCAATCCAAGAGTGAACTTTTTTATTCATCTGTATACAAAATCAGTTTTAGAAAAAGTAGTATTTGGCATAAGTATTCAACAGATCAAAAGAAGACATACCGAAAATGATAGAGTCTAGGCTTTTATTTGGTAAGAACTCATAGACTAATATTTTCTCTTCACCCTCAATGCAACATCCCAACATCCTTACAAGATTCCTGTGCTGAAGTTTTGCAATTAGCAGAATTTCATTCTTAAATTCTTGCAGTCCCTGGCCTGATGAATTTGATAGTCTTTTCACTGCTATTTCTGTTCCATTGAAGAGTACACCCTGCAAATACGAAGAACATCTCCTTTATTGAATGGACTTGTAGGAGGTCTGTGCATATAAATAGCCGTTAAGTGAAAAGCAACCTTGTAAACAGGGCCAAAGCCACCTTGTCCAAGTTTGTTATCTGTAGAGAAATTATCGGTAGCAGCGACTATGGTGCTCAAATCAAAGAATGCTAAATCTCCATTTCTTCTGGTATCATCAGTCTCCTTTTCTTCTAAAGAATCCTCGAAATACAAGGATGACTTTGTGATAAAGCTAAAAATATTTTTGTTTGTCCTTGTTCTTGCTTCTATCAGTCAAACACAATTGTTAATCTCTGCATGATATGTAATCAATTTAGTTGCAAATTAAACAGTGGTGAGAATTTGTACGTACCTCTTCTTTGCCTTAGTATCAAGCAACACATGAAGGCAACAAGAATGAGAAACACTATAGCAGAAGAAACTATGATAGCCGCAAGTACTCCCTTCTTTTGAATTAGACCTTTCTTTGTAAAGCCAGCTATCAAGATGGAGATATGATTAGTATTTATATATCTGTTTTTATTGATTCGTTGTTAGTGCATCTATGAAACGTACCTAAATCGTTTTTATCGACTCGTATGTATAGATCTTGTCCCGTCTCGGTGTATGCCCTGGCATCCATCAAATCACCGTGCCATGTTAAGCAGCCAACCCCTCCGTTGGTCTCAGAGTTTGCACTAGCATAAGCTATGCATGAACAATTTCTCAAACACTCTTCCTCGCATTGCTTCAACCCTATACTCATGTCTACAAGTGCATCTGCCGCAGTATCTGGCACCTTCGCATGTGGAAACTTGACGAACCCTTCTCCATTTCCACACATGGAGACACCACGCTTCCTAACGCACCCTCCTGTCCTATCTCTTACAATCCATCCTTCACCTGACTTGGGTTCGAATCCCGGGAAACATGTGCACTCGAAATCACCTACATAAGGATTACAGTAACCATTTGGCCCACAATGCCCGTAAAAATCGCACTGTTCCTTTGGAATAGTTAAATAATTCCAATCTTGAGCGTTATTGTTCCAGATTACTCTTTGTGTAACTCCGGTTTCATTCGCTACCCATCTTGTTATGATGGAGGCATTCTTTGCATCGGAGGAGAACGATACTTCATCATCAGTGTTGACAAAGGAATCATTAAATATGAAGTTATTTGTCATTTGAGGTATGCCACTCCATCTTTGCCCCGTCCATGTGCCACTTCGCCACAAAGGAACCGAACCCTTGTAGAACACCATTTGAGGAGACACGCCCGGGTTCATCCTGAAGGAATAGTTTCCAACCCCTGGATCATCCGGAGACTTCCAAGACGTGTATGATTGGTTCAGACCGGTTCTCAAATTGAACCCAATTTTCATAAACGAAATCCAAGTATCTGTTGGATATCCAAAACTCTGCCACAGTACGGTCTTTCTGGAATCATTCTGAATCAAAACAAGATTTCCCGAATCCGAAATTTGAGCAAAGGTGTTCCTAGTGCCTGCGATGGAGATGTTTGTAGACCAAACAGGAACTGTCTGGTTTCCCTGGAACAAGACAAGGTTTCCTCGACCATCGATTCTGAGAATCCCCGAGGTATCATTAATGGAATTGTCTCTATTAGCCACCCAGACAACAGTCTTGCCCGGAATCAGGTAATACCAGATGCCAACATATCGATTACTGGAATTGCCAGGGCTGAAAAATCCGAGTGCAAAAATCTTGCCACCAGACACTATGACTTCATCGTTGTTATCTTTGATGAATTGATGCTGCGTTATTGTGTCAGCTGAAAAGGAGAAGCGAGAAAGAAGGAAAACAAGAAGTATTCTGAGAAGCCATTTAACAGGATTCATGACTGCTTCAGTATATGATTAGAGGTGTTTCAGAAGATTGATTATATCATTTCTATGAGGGAGTCCTACACGCCATAACAAGAATTAATTACCTGTCAGACACCGTTTCAGAAAATTTTATCAATTTAATACTCTTTCTAACAAGGCGTTGATCATCCGCGACTTTCGCTGACGTGGAGTCAGCTCGGGCTTTCTTAGATAGATGCTAAATCTATAAAAAAAAATTGAAACAGTATCTGACAGGTAATTAATTTCTGTTAGGGTGATTTTTATATAAAAACGCCAACTTTCTTTATTTTTTGTGAAAAAAATCTTTGTGCATTAAAATCTTTAAATATATTTTTGCAAATTATTTTATAACTAGACAAATTTTGGTTTTTGCATGAAATTACACAATACAATTTCAAATGCCTTTTTGACCATTTCAAAATCCTATAACACTTTCTAATGCATTTTTGACCATTTCAAAATCCTATATGTATAGTTTAGTCTAGAAAAACTTTGAAGGTACTAAAATATGAATAATTTTATAAAAATTTTATAATTAGTATTTATTTTTTAAAATGATGATAAAAATAAGAAATATTTTATAATTTAAAAAATTATAAATTTCATATATTTTTGAAAAATTTCTTAATTTTTAAAATTAATTGTTTAAAATTATAAAAAATATTAAAATAAACTTTTAATTACAATTGAGGAATCAAATGAATTATTATTTATTAATTATTATTTTTAACAACAATTAATAATGTGTATTCATTTTTAATAAAATTAATATTAGAAAGAATATTTTAAATATATAGGTGATATTTTTTAGCTTTGTCTTTTTTTATTGAATTTTGTTACAAGTTTAGAGAGTAACACAAAAGAAAAGATTCTTTTAGAAACATTTTAACATAATTTTTCTTAATTAATTTGAATAATAGCAAAATAAATGATTAATTTAAATTATAACTCATATATATTCTCCATTAATTAGTCGATGATGATGATAATAACGAAAAATATTTTATCATAATTTATAATTGATTTTTAATATAATAATTAAAAATGCACGAGTTATAATTATACCAAATATTTTAATATGTTTTATTTTCATCATTGATTTTTCAAAAAATTATTTTTTATAATTATATTTTTAATTCGTTTTATTTTGGTAATTGAGTCATTAATTTGTATTCTTTTACTGACATCACACATTAATAAAAATTTAATGAATTCATGCTAGTGAACCTTTAAATGTGCGTCATCCCCTTAAACAACGTATCTCCTTAAACCACCATTGGTTTATATGAATTCACTAATTATTCATTCAATTAACGTATCAGAAACATATTAAAATATATATATATATATATATATATATATATATTATATCAATGTATCTAAGAATAACTTTGAAGCTCAATTAAATTTAAAAACGTATTCAACACAAAAAGGTTAATTAAATAATGACAAAATTAAGAGACGAGACAAAATTTATTGGTATTATTTTTCATTATTATTATTATTATTATTATTATTATTATTATTATTATTGAAGAAAAAAAACTATTTTATTATCTTATTTGCATAATTTAATAAAAAAAATTATTAAAAAAAGAAAAAAATAATTATTTGAAGAAAATGATAAACGTGAAAGGCACATAATTTTATTTATAGTTATAAAACTTAATTTTTTCGAAGACACGAAATAAAAATGATTGGCTAATTAAATTTTATCTTTTTTTCCACCAATTAAAACACACCTCCTTCCTTAATATTCTATAGTTTTTTTACACAAAAATCATCCTAATAAAAATTAATTATATGTGACTGTCGGACATCTTTTCATAAAGTTTTACAAATTTAATATTCATCCCAAAAAGGCGCTGATCATCTTTAACGCATTACCTGAACTAGCGCCACATCAGCAAAATGCATATATCATCATCCGTGCCTTGTCAAAAACAATGTTAGATTAATAAAATTTTCTAAAACATAGTATGATAGATAATTAATTCATGTTAGAGTGATTTTTTTTTACAAACGCCGTGTTACACTGTCGAGCTTTCATTTCTATTGGTCCAGCGAGACATAGTTGGTTGACAGTCCGTTATTCCTCGGATTCCTTCACACGGAGCTGTCAAAATCTTTCCTTTTTAATGGGAACCCACGTTAAATCCTCTGGCTTTCTAATTTGCAGACGAGGTTAGATTTCCAAGGTCATTTGAAAATGAAAAATTCAGGGTAAAATATACAAATGGTCACTGATTATAAAATGTTATTTCGTTAAGACTCTCAATTATTTAAAGTTATAAGATGGTCACTCAACTGTTTATATGTTCTAAAATCGTTATTTTCCGTTAAAAATTGGCAGTCATCTGAGATAGACGTTAACCTCTTGACTAGGACATAATAAAACTTGATATCAAAATCATTTGAACTGTATTTTATGGGTCGACTCTCCGTTTATATTATATCTTCAAGACAATATGCTTGAAAACAACGACAATTTCAGTAGACATCATTATAATATCATTTTATCATATCCTAACTAATAGGTTAACGTCCAACTCAAATGACCATCAATTTTTTAATGGAAAACGAAAAGCTTGGAATATATGGATAAATAAGTGACTATTTTATAATTTGTAACAGTAAGAGGATTCAACAAAATAATATCTTATAATCAAATAATCATTTCATAACTTTTAGTAGTATGAAGACTTAACAAACTAACACCTTATAATCAAGGATCATTATTGTATTTTACCCCATAATCCAAGTCTTGGTCTTACTAACATTTGCTCTCATTTTTCCAAGTCATTTTGGCTCGATTTGTTTTGTTTGACTTCTTCGATGTGGACGGTTAACTAATTTTGACCTGAAAAAACAAATATTAATATAGTACTATATCAATCAAAATATATAAATAATATTACATGACATTGAAATGATAATATGTTTCTCAAATGAATAATTAGTAGGTATAGATATTCCCTATATCTTTAGTAGAACAAGTAGCTCCAGGTCTATCTAAGGAAGGCTCATTATCGACAGTGTTTATTGTGGTTCCACCAAAAAAAATTTATCAATAAATTTTTGTTTAACCAATCATGAAAAAAACTATAAAAATATTTTTCTTTAAACAAAAGTACCCTTAATGTGTTTATTTTTAATAATCTAAATTAATTATATGGTAATATTTGTTTAAAATTACAAATGTGCTACTGATTTTTTTAATACGTAATATTTATATATTTTTATATAATTACAAATAGAGATAAATAGGTAATATTTATATATTATTGGTGTTTTTTAATACATAATATTAGACAGAACAAATTTGAAAAAAAATTAATATATATTCGGATCGGATTTCTAGATATTCGATCCGAAATTTCGGATATCTGACAATTTCTGATCGGATTCGCATCGTTTATTTTTATATCCGAAATTTTAGATATCTGAAATTTCGGATCGGATCGGATCCAATATCCGAATTTGCACACCCCTGGGACAAACGATGCAGAGTGGCTACCGGACTGCATGTGTCGCGATCAATTCTCTGATCGTCGAGTTGGCCATTGGTCTTGTTTCTTGCGTGGGATTCGTGATTGGAGTGGCTGGAGCGGTGTCAGGCTTCGGTTCTTCGTGGGTGTGAGTGTGAGATGGTGTATCAGAGGTGGATTCCAGATTTTATCGTCGGTTGTTTTGTTCTCGCTGTTGCTTCTTTCGTCGAAGCGTTTAGCTGTGGGTTCTACGTGTTTCGCTTTAATCTCCGGGTCAAATTCTACTAAATTTTTTAGGTTTCACCTGGTCATAAAATCAAAACAAAAATAAATCAGTAATTTGCCGAAGTCCTCGACAACGACGCTAATTTGATTAGCGTCATTTTTCTCGTCAAATAAAATTCTCTTCTCAAAGTAAAATAATAGAAATAAGTAGTAAAGAGGAGGAAAGGTCGATCCATGAGGACTTAGGAATTCCCGATAATTTTACGTCTCGATTTTAATCTAGACAATTGCAAGAAAAAATAAAAAAGGGGGTTTGGCAAATGAGAAACAAAGAAAAGTAATAAGTAGAAAAACAAAGAATTAAAATTGAAATAAAATAAAAGGAAACATAAATTAAGATTGAAAACAATAACGAGAAAGTCGCCTCGAGCTAGCTTTGTTTCAATTTTGTTCGATCATCGAAATGGATTTTTGCTCTGGGATTCATATCGGTTACAGTCTACAAGGCACAACCCATTGCAACTTGCCTTTCTCTTTAGTAACCGATTTTCCTATGTCACTCTTCAAAAGTTGATTCTTGAATGGACTAACCACAACTATTATCGTTAGAACAAACAGATTAAGTTTTGGAAAAGCCAAACTCGGATTATATTGTCTCGTCGAGAACCAAATTCGATCTCGATTTTCCTTAGCAGACTATCGCTAAGTGTGTTCACAGGAGGTCGAATGTGCCACAGTCCGATCCCTCCTCCCAACTATAAATTAAAACAACATCCAGACTAACGTCAACTTTTTGAAATGAAAGTGTTTTAATTTTTACATTAAGGTCGTTTGCCAAACTAATAAAATAAAAAATCAAGAATGTAATCCTAAGGGTCTTAAGTGCTTTTCAGTTCTCACATATAGAATTGAGTCATTGCTAGCTCTTGGCTAATAAGAAAATTAACTAAGCATAGTAGAAATCATACTTAGCATGTTTTGTAAAAGCGAGTAAAAATTTAAAGTAAGAAAACAAAATTAAAAGTAAAAGAAAATTGTTATAAAAATAAAAAGAAAATAACAAAAAAGAATTCAAGAGACGATCCCTTAAGCCTTACCTTAAGGAGGGTATCTATAGGCTTTTAAACCCTGAAAATAACATGGAATTTAAAATGAAAGTATTCATAAATTTCAAAGATAATTCAAATGGTCATCGATTATGAATTGTTGTTTTGTTAAGACTCTCAATTTGAAGTTATAAAACGGTCACTCGACTGTTTGTATGTTCTAAACTTATCATTTTCTGTTAAAAATTGACAGTCGTCTGAGCTGGACGTTAGCC